TTAAAAGGTGATTTTCCCCCGTGTTACTGTAACTTAGAGATATTCCCCGTCCTGCCATGAGGTGACACTTCTTCACAGCTCCATCCGAGCTGAAGATGAAGCAGCAGGACAGGCTACAGCGATTTGTTTTTTCTCCCCAGCCTGCAGTAATCATTAATATTCAGCGGGTCCCTCTCACAGAAGGTTATCAAAACAGCCCTGCTGCCAGCTCTCCCTCTTGTGCGGGGCTGTTTCTCCGGGGCCTCCTGGGAAAATGCTTTTAAATGGCTTTTCAGAATTTCTCAGACTTTCAGAGTTAATTTTCGTAGTTGTGAATTTATATTGCATGCTTAGAAAAACATTGTCACTAAGTCAAGCTGGATTTATAGCTCGTGTCGCTATTAATTTGACCAGGATTTAAAGCACATTCTTTATATAACATGAATGAAAGTCTAATATATGTGATTTAAAAAAAAAAATAAAATAATTGACAGGCAAAATATGATTTAGCAGGACCCAGAGGTATGTTTGACAGCTCTTTCCTGTGATTGACTGCCTTTCTGCAGGACCTTGGTACTGCAAATATTTACATCCATGCTTAGCTGGAAGCCTGTTGACTCCTTTGAGCCCTGTGGAGGAGCTGGGAGGGTATTTCTTTCTGACAGTGATGTCCTGTGAGAGTATGTTTTCTTTTTTGGGGGGAAGGGATAATTCAGCATCTGGCTTCACTGAAAATGGTTGGGGTCAGGCTCCCCTCCCAGCTGAGACAAACAGAAAGCGGTCACGTCTCAAGTGCCGACATTTGCAGAGCTTTTCAGGGAAGGTTTCTGGTTCCTTTGCCAATATAGAGATTAATTCCTATAAATCATAGAATGGTTCAGGTTGCAAGGGACCTTGAAGATCGTCAAGTTCCAACTCCCCTGCTGTGGGCAGGGACACTTCCCACTAGACCAGATTGCTCAAAGCTCCCTCCAGCCTGGTCAAATCTGTTTCTGGACTAAGTGAAAGTACCCTGCAAATACTGACAGCTGAGGCACTATATTTAAAATGACACTTGAAGTATTTAACCTTGTTTTTTGCACTGTCTAGAAGACCAGGCTGCACAGCGAGGGCGTTCATCGTTTCATACCAGGTGATGGTGTAGAGGTGGTGTCACTTCACCCCTGGGATGCAGAGAGGAACAATGGGCTAAATATGGCCTGGGGGGCTGCAGAAAGAGACCCCCATCGACATCACAGTTTCCCCCAGTGCTGGAGAAAGGGGTTTGGGCTCCTGGCACAGATGGGCACGGCAGGGAGGGGACGGAGCCACTTGTGCAGGAGCTGCCTTGCCTCAATCCCAAACCCAGGTACAAACCACACAAAGGGCAGAAGCGGAGTCACTGAAAGACATCCCGAGGGACTGGGGGGGCTGGAAGGGCCGTGATCCCTGCTGGAGGAATCCAGCTGCTCGGGTAGGGAGGGGGACACCAGGGAGTCCCCAGGGTGGATGTGCCCCGTGACCTGCCAGCGAGGTCCTGGGAGCTGCTGCTGGCCAGCGGGGCGGCCTTGTAAAGGTCATCACAGCTTGTTTCCTAGTTAAATAACTGTGGGCAATGAATGAACAGGCCTGGAGCCAAAAAACGTGCTACCTTTTTATTGCAAAACTCATTTACAGACACAGAGAGACCAGGGACACTTTGGGGTCAGCGGCGGGCCAGCTCTCGACAGTGAAAAGCCCTGTAGAGGGACACTTATGGGGATGCAGATCTATGAGCTCCCAGTGAAGGATGGAATTGTGTTTCCACAGCCAGGTTTGCTGTCTGTGCCGCGGAGTTTGGGTCTAAATACGACGGGATCCCCCCCAGCCCCGATGCTGGGATTTCTAGCGGTGCCACCAGATGGTGCCATCATAACATCTAATGCACCATGGCTCCACAGTGCGGGGTGACCAGTCACCCCTGCAGAAGGGAGAAACCAGAATCATCCCGGGCAAGGGGCTGGCAGAGGTTGTGGAAATATTTTTAATGACCCATAGGTGGAAAAAAAAAGAAAAGAAAAGTGAATTTTCACATTGTTTTCCTTTTTGAATAAAAGCAGGGAAAAGGTGACTGCTGTCTTCACTTTCTGCTCTCCATCTCCTTGGCTTGCTCAGCAGAGAAAAGCCCCACCAGGTGACATGTGATCAATGCCAAGGGAACCCTTGCTCTGCTCTTGGTCCTTTTCCATGGTGAACGCTCCATCTGTGTGTGGCAAAGTCCAGGCTGGGGCTCTGAGCTGCTCCCCACCATCCCTCCAGACACCAAGGGAGGCATGAAGCATCCAGGCTTGGACCAACTGCTGGTTTTGGCAGTCCCACGCTGGTAGGCTCTTTGATTTTTCTGCCTTTGATATGTCTATCAGTGTTACTGGCCCTGCTGTGCGATAACACAACACAGTCTTTCTCGGGGCTGCAGCTCAATTTCTTGCTACACATCTGTATGTGGCTGTACATCTGTACACGTGCACAGCTGTATGTCCAGACACAGGATGCATGTGGGTTCCAGCCTAAGCCCCACCAGTGGTGGCTTCGGGACCTGCTTCTGTTCACCCATGCAGCAGGGGAGCAGCAGGAGCTTTGGAGGGTGTTCAGGCTTGAACTGCTCATGTCTGTGTGTATTTGTGCACAGTGAAACTTTCAGGAAAGCAAAGCAAATGTGGATGTAAACCCAAATAAGAGAGGCTGGGCTGCACATGGGTATTGTCGTCCCTGAGGGCTTCAGACCTGGGCACACCTGCCCTGATGCAGAGTGGGGATGGTCCCTGGTCCTGCTGACCCCTCTCCCCTGCAGTTCATTAAACAGCACATCCCAGCATGTTCGTCTGATTTATGGTGGTTCAAATATCATTTCTTAATATTTCCCTAGTGCCATATGTTCAGTCCCAGCGCATGCTGTGTCGGTCTGTGTCTGGGGATGTAGAGACCCCAAATAATAAGCCACGTGTGTTCCTGTGGGGTTTTGTACCAGCCATCCTGTGCCCTTATTGCAGCCACTATCTAAAAGGAGTTGAGAGGAGGTATACAGAGCCTTTCCCAGGGCCAAAGCATCTCTTGCCTTGTGGCACACAGAGAGAGAGGTGTTGGGGCCATCAGGGATTAGTGAGGAGCTGTGCCAAGGCCAGGAAGAGGACACAAGCCCTGTTCAGATGAGACCAAGGTGCAGATGGACAAACCTAGCCAGCGGAGATGATGGAGGCTATGGAGAAACAGCAGTCCTGCCTTGGGATGCTGCAGGGGGTCCCTGGGAGTTTCCCTGCCAAGGGACTTACTCCTCCAGGGCAGCAAAAGCCACACTTGTGTGGGTTTCTGCAGGGCGAGGGGCAGCCCTGGCTCCATCCCCAGTTCAGGGCAGCAGGGACCTTCCATGGGGCTGGGGGTATCTGTGCGTCAGTCAAGATGTCATGCAGTAGAGAGGGGCTTTGCAAGGACCAAACCTGAGGGGCTGGGAGGTCTTAGCACTTTTTGTTTGGCTGAATCCTATCTGCTCTGTGTTCTTGCCTGGCCAGGGCTGCTGTGAAGGAAACAGAGTTTTCAGCTTCTGAAGAGCCTCTTTGTTTCTTTCCCAGCCATGATTTGAGACCTGGCTTGCATAAGACAAAATCTCTCCAGGCCATTTCGGCTTCCCAGTATAAAACTTCTGTTTGATCATAAATAAAGCTCAAGAAGCCTCATTCATATAAAGAGAAGCTTTGTTCTGGCTGTAGAATACACCGAGGCTCCTGCAGGCTGGAACAACTTAAAAACACCTTTGCAGTTGGGACAGACAGGGTAATGGTCCCCTGGTGGGGAAAAATCTAGAGGTGACATAAACTGTTAAACATTTTTAGGATGTAATTATAGTATTATCTAATTCCTGTATGTAATATACACAGGAATATCTATAGAGAGTGACTGTGCTGACTGTGTGAGCTTTGGACACCTCCTGGCCCCTATCAAATGTTATGAACCCAGCGCAGATGGTCTTTCTCTGCTTTGAGTCCCACAAAAATGCATCCCAGCTTTCCACGGAGGAGCATCTTTAGCGTGAAGATGTCTCTCTGCCAGTCAAATGCTCAGCCTCTCTGCAAGAGCATCTCTGGACCGACAGCCACTAACAGCCTGCCTGAGGCCGCAGCAGCTACTCTGGCCACGTCTCTTTCCTTCAGATGCTGGGTAAAGGATTATATTCAATGTCACAAACAAGGACAAAGCTTTTTCAGTAAAACTTAGTCATATTTACGTATTTTTCGTGATTGAATGTATCCATTATTGCTCTCCCGGAGTGTGATTTATTCCTTTGTGCATTGCTTTTTTTTTTGAAAGCCAGAAGAGAGTGGAATCTTATGTAGGACACAGACGTGAGGCCGAAGACTTAGACTGATTTCAGCCTTCACATGGACCATCACTGCTGTCAGCCAGACAGTGGCATTTCTATAAAAATCCCAATGTAAATATTTGTTCTAAATCAGGCTCTTTCCTTTTGCCTTGACTGGAGTATAACCGAGGGAGCTTATGAAATGCTGTATCATTTCAAGATTAATTGCTACTGAAAGTTGCAGGATTTGTTGTCTGCCCTGCATGCACCCTCCTGGGATAATCTCCTCTTGATTTAGTTTCTTTCTTCAAATTCTTTCTCCCCAGACAGCGGGTTTCGCAAAGGCCAAACTGTTTTCCTCCCCTAAAAGCCTATCTTGTTTGCTAGCCCTCCCTGTCCCGCCAGCAGACTGACTGGGGGGTGTTGATGAAGGGAGAGGAATATTTGCCTCTACTAACAGTTGGATTATTCTCACTTTTCAGATGCCATCTGTGTGACAGGGTTTGGTTTGCACTAAATACAGCCTGTGGGCTGAGCTGAGAAAACAGATTGCTGCACCACTACGTTAAATAACCATCATCATTCAAGTTTGGTTCATCAGAGAACTTTAGGCTGCCGTGGAGGCTTTTTGGGGTGGTGGTGGTGGGGGGGGGAGATGCAACTCAGTTCCACATCAGGATGCTGAAATCAGATTTTAATTTAAGCTTTGCTGATGCTCTCTGTTGGCAGCGCTGTCACCTGGGATCCGCAGGGCTTCTCACCTGCGGTTTGCAGGCAGGGTGACAGCAGCAGGCAGGGGTGGGAACCACCAGAGCTTTGTTCCTCCTGCTCCCTGGCTGGGTTAGTGCAGAAAAGGGGCTCTCACTGCCTGTCCCTTTGTCTTTTCTTTCTGTCTTTTCAAGCCCTCGATGCTGTGGGCAGTTTCAAACCCACACCGAACAAATACTCTAAGTTCAGCAACATTTTACATCACAGATCACCAGGCACGGACCCGTGTCCTGCTGGTTGCAGCTCTGAAGCATCCACACACATACACACCCCATGCAGAAATGTCCTTTTAATCCCTCTGCCCCTGCAGAGGAATGGCAGAGCTCCAGAGCCTGCGTGAACGCGTGGAGATCCCTGCCCTTCGGGTGTTACAGTAAAGTACATGAAAGTATTTCACCCTTGCAGTAGCTCCTTGCATTTGTGATCCGTACAGTAATTATAGGATGCTGCTTCTAGCTGAGATATCTTTGCATACAATGAGGAAAATAGCCTGAAGGTTTAATTCTCCTTCTTGAACTTTAACAAAATATTTGTTGGGTTTTTTTCCCACTAAATATCGCACTTGCTGTGAGTATATCTACATTAGTCTTCTACAAGATCTGTTGGCATCCATGTATTTCCACGCCACGTGAGAGGACTCAGCGCACTCATGAGCTCGAGTGGCTGCTCTTTCTTGGTCTTCTCTTCCTTGAAAACTTTGATTTCAGCCAGTTGAAGAAGCCACCTTTTGCTTTTAACTCAAACTCTACAGGGAAGTGGTCGCTCACCCCCAGCGCCTGCAAGACAAGGGCACAGAGAGGTTGGGAGCCACTTGGCCATGCTCTTTCCAAACCCTGTACCAGAGGGTTTCACCATGGTGCTGGGGAGGTGGATGTGGGGAGGGGCAACGTGATCATTGCATCCCTTTAGGGGAAGATGCAATGGTTTTATGGACAAGACCATGTTCAAAACTGCCTGGATACCATTGGCTTTGTGCTCCTGTCTCAGCCCACAGCCTGGGCTGTGCCTACCTGCTCCTCGGTCATCTGAAAGTCCTTCTGGAAATCAAAGATGTTGACAGACTGTGGCACGACGGCATGAATGAGCTTCTGCCCACTGACCACGATCCTGCAAGGAGCAAAGCAGTGAGGTGCTGGTATGGGGTGCTCGACCAGCAGCAGCCATGCTACACCAAGCTGGTGGCCTTGACAGAGTCACAGCTACATATGGTTTGTCCTTTCCCATGGGCTGCCTACTTAGAGACACCAGCATGCGTCTGCTTTCTGCTGAGTTTGGCTGATTGCTTTCCTTGGGACTGAGACCCCTAAATACCTTGGTGTGTGTTGGCCTTGGAAGCCAACTTTACATGACTTGGATCTAAATCCACCTCGATAGTGCTGCGAAGTTCTAAGCCATATTTTGGATACAAAAATCATAGGACACCAATGACTGGAGTCTCAGTGAAGTCCTGCTTCTATCCAGAAGCTCATTCTGCAAGAGGTTTGTGTCTTGCCTTACTCTGGGCTCTAATAAGCTGGTGTATTTACTGTCCCAGCTGAGGGAGCTGCAGGTAACAGCCCGACTCGCCATGTGCCTGGGAAAGGTGAGATGTCCCTCCCCCTGAGCAGAATGGGATTTTGCATTTGTCAATCCAAATTACGAATGCAAGAGCCAAAACCATGGCACAAAGCCAGCACCAGGAGCACCTTCCACCTGGGTGCCTGCAGGGCTCCCTGCAGATGAGAAGTGCTGTGTAATTGCCTGTCATTTATCTCCACCTAAGTCACAACAACACCTACTTCTTGCATGAAATCTTGCCCTTTCTGCAAAACTGCTTGCCAACAATCCTGCAAAGTGCTTTGTGGTCCTGACTAGCAGTATTCAGATCTCATTTCCCCTTGGACACTGTTTTATCTTTGAAGGCCTCGTGCACATTTGCTTTATCTGACAGTCACTACACCTTTTCATACGTTTTTTTTCTCAGAAAGTCATAAACAAGGAACGGTTTGGCAGTGAACCCTTTACCTGTCATACGGGCAGCTGGTGCTTCTCTTCACCGTAGTGTCATTTTTGTCACCAATTAGCCAGACAAATTCGGAATAAGTCCTCAGCCGGATGTTCTTCCACTGCTTTTGGGGAACGTAGCTGCATCCAGCATTAAAGTCCCCCATGAAGATGAAGTTCTGGAAGGTAGGAGAGTTTTCAAAAGTAATCATGAGGACAGCTCTTCAAAAGAAGACTGGCAAGCACTTCTAAGGTCAACAGGTGCTCCCAATAGCCCACACAGCTCAAACAGTGAGTGCTCATTGAGTGCAGCAGGGCTTCTTTCTGCTGGGCTCACCACCAGGGCATGCTGACAAAACAGCAGTTTTATTGGGAGCTCAAGTTTACCAGTTAAAATGTGGAGAACTTGATGAAAAGACATTAGAGAGACACTCAAAACCTGGGGCTCGCTATCAAGGGTTTTAGGTTATCAGGCTGTGAATAGTGAAGAGCGTGCCAAGTGACTCAGTACCAAAGCTGGTGTTAGTAACATAGATGTGTCAACTAACCTCAGTTTTCCAGCGCTGTTTGACATCTAAGTACACATCATAGAGCTCGTCAATCTCCCGTACCGCTGTCTCCGGCGTGGTGTGCAGAGGGATTATAGCAAACTCTTTGACAGCTTGAAAACAAGGCAAAAGAACAGGAAAAAAAATGTAATGATTAAACAGGCACTGAATCACAGAGAAACAGAGAGTGACTTGGAAGCAAGAAGGTTCTTCTGAAGAAGAAGCAGCTTCTGTTCTGGCTGTGGATCAGAGGTGACGGCTGTGTGGTTGCCAGGGGCTCCCCATCAGCTGAGCTGCCAGGTGAGGTGCTGTGTTGGGGCAAGGCAAACCCACGGCAAAGGCTGCTCCCGGGGCTGCACCAGTGGCATGGGGCACATCCACGGACCCACTGCCTGTGGCAGTGGCAGAGGCTTTCCTGGGGTTGCTGGCGGCAGGGCTGTGGTGTGCACCGAGCTGCGGGCGACGCCGGAGGCAGCAGCCCCTAAAGCAGATGCTGCTCTTGTAAGGAAATCCAACATGGGGTCAGGATACATCCCCTTTCGCCTGCCCTCACCACGTGCCCAGGTCCAGCTGGCACCATCAGGCTCTGTGAGACTCACCAGTGGGAGAAGGATTTGTTTCTGAAACGTCTCACCGGTTTTTGGAGACTGGAACCAGACGGCGAAGGGCTCTCTGGAGAAGGCATCCTCGTCCCCAGGCTGGGTGTCAGGGTACTGGTAAGTTTGTTTCACTGATACCAGATCTTGTCTGCAGCAGAATGAACGGGATGGGGGATGTCACTCTCGTAGCTCGCTGGGACATGTCTAACACTGACTGTGCTCTGACCTGGAGCCTGATGAGCCCCACACGCAGGCACAGCCCATCCCACCCCCACAACCTGCACCTCTCCAGCTCTCTTGGAGCAAAGTCACCTCCGCCGTGTCCAGCCCATCTCTGGAGGGCTGTGGTGGGAGAGGGCAGAGTAAGGGGCTGGCTGGTTGGCGAGGGGAGCTCTCTCACCTGTAGATGAAGGCGTACTGCTCCTTGTAGCTCTTCCTTCCCAGCCTCTCGCTGATCACGCAGCTGTATTCCTCCTTCGACCCCTTCAGCTGACTGGGAGGAAAGCGGGTTTCCTGAGTTTATTTCTGTGTTCATAAGGTGCCGAGGAAGAGATAATTTTGCCTGTGCCTGCGGGTATGGGATGTTGCCTTCCTGACTTCAGAGACGGGTGGTAGAGACAAAAGACCTTCTCCGGACCACTTGTCTGGACCTGTGCTCCATCACTGGCTCTTTCACTCTACCCCCTCCCTGCTTATTGCAGCCTCTGTCTCTCTTTCAGCTGGGTCTCACCTCCAGCCAGGCATACTCTGCTCTCTCCTCTGGACCCAGTCCTGCCAGGCCATCCCCAGTCTAAATCAGCTCCCAACCTTGCAGAAAGGTGGCTGCCCTGCTGCAGCCAGTGCCAGCCAGTCTTTCCCTTCTTTTCTCTCAAGAATTAATCTTTAACAAATTGAATCTTATTTTGTTTTAAAAATACGTGTCCTACAGTGGTCTGGAGCTGGCTTTGCTCGTGACCTTCAGTGAGGCTGCCAGAGCTTGGTCCTTCCTCGACGGCTGGGACAGAGCCCAGACCCTGAGCTTTTGCCCCGGTGCTGAGCAGAGCACGGGGTCTTGCCAAGCATCATCCTCAATATTTGCCTCCTTGCCCATGGCCACCCTACCTGGTGAGCTTCTGCACCAGGAGAGGACAGACCCGGTTCTTGTTCTCCTTTATTTCCATCAGCAACGTGATGTCGCAGCGAGAAATGATCTGCAAGGGGGAAGGAGCAGAAGCGAGTTTGCACGCAGTCGGTTGTGGAGAATTAGAAAGACGCCAGAAAGAAGTGGTTACTGGTGGAGGGGAAGTCCTTTGTAGAAGAAGTGGAGCCCAGCCTGGGGTCGTAGGAGGGAGGCAGCGGAGGGAGAGAAGCCCTTCTGCTTTCAGAGCCGCCCTGCTCCGTGACAGGCGCTGGGAGAGGGAACTGGGAGCAGAGCGGTTTTGGGTCTGTTGGAAAACTTCTGTGCGTGCCCCTGAGGAGGAAGCGTGGAGGGGAAGGGGCAGTGAGAGCTGCTGCTGTGAGCTGCCCTCCTCCCCCCACACTGCTGGGGTGCTCCCTGCAGCCCCCCAACCCCTACGGTCGGTCTTGCTTTTCTCCCTGCCCCTCCCCACACGGGTTTTCTTCTCTGCTTCTCACCAGCGCTGTGCACAAGCATCCCAATTCAGTGGGTTCCCAAATGGTTGTGGCAGGAACTTTTGGAGGGGGGGGATGAGGGGAGCCAGTCAGGCTCTATCATCAACCCACTGCGATGGTTTTCATCCTTTTTCTGGTGTATATGCCCCCAAGGTCCTATGGCTATGCTGCACCCTCCGAAAACTGTGTGCTCTCAGCATTCGCCTGTCCCAGTCGTCTGTTGCAGACCCCTCTGAACCAGCCCGTGGAGCCCAAAGCAACCCCTGGTGTGGAAAGAGGGACCTGGCACCCATGGGCTGCTGCATGGCAGAGGAGGTGCTGGGGAAGAGGGGGGAGCCAGCTCAGCTCAGCCCAGCCTGGCTCAGCTCCCACGGCCACTGCTGGGGTTCCCCCTGGAAAACCCCAGCTCACCCCACAGCCCAGCACACTCGGGAGCTTCCTTCTGCCCCTGGTTTTGTTGCTCTTCGAACCTTGTGGGTGATATTCGTGGAAAAAAAGCCCCTTTTTGCCCCCTGAAACTTATAAGAAATTAATATATTGCCTATAATTTAGTATAGCTTGGCCCACAGCGCTGACAGTATAGGAAGAACGATGCAGAAATGCAAATGCCAGCAAATCCCTCTTCTCCAACTGTTTGCAACAAAAGGATTAAAGCCCAGCTAAATGGTGGAACCCCTCGCTGCTGCCGCTCGGCACACGGAGCCATCCCACTAACACCAACCACCACATCCTCCAGTGCTGTGGCGCCTCGGAAGGGACCGGCAAAAGCTGTAAGTCCAAAACATAGTTCTTTTAAAAAACTGAGTTGTCTTCAGCTGCTGCAGAGGAAGCCTGATGGTGAGGGTTTATTTACAGAAATTAGCGATCAGGCTTTTCAAATTTTGTGCCACACTCTAATATTATACTCTCTGCTGTCCTGAGAATATGTTTAATTAGACAAGAATATTTCAGAATAATTAGCACATAAGCAAGGTAAATAAAGTACCACAAAACAAAGCTCTGTAATTCAAAGCAAAAATTATTTTTACTGTGCCACAGAGGTTTTCCCCCTTTCCTAACTCCTTTTCCAAAGGAAACAGCAAATGTTGTTTCTTTTATATTCTCATGCGAGCTAAAATAACAGCGAACACCCTACTCAACCACAAGCTGATTTTTACTTTAAGAGTAATATAATAATTTAAATTATTAACTTTTTTTTAAAAAAAAACCTTGAAATTCAACTGTGAAAAACAAATAAGGTGCAAGATTATGTAGCTAAGAAATCCTCGGACAGCTTAATGCCTGTCTCATCCAGTCAAATGAACATACCTTTACCACGGCATCGACGACTTCAGGTCTGGCTATTTTTGTTTCTCCAAAAGACCTTACATTGAAGGAGCAGATTTTTAGGCTCAGAGATGGGTTGAAATTTAGGAGTGAAAGCAAGATGAAGAGCAACATCTTCAGGAACTTGGACAAAATGAGTTGCTGAGAGCGTGGCTATAAATATATGTATGTGAGTGTGAGTGTGTTTGTGTGTCCGTCCCTCTGTGGCCAGTTGGGAGGTCACACTGAGCAGTCAGCTGTGTCGATCACAAACTTGAACAGGAATCGCCATTTCCTCCTTTCCCTCACTTTCATCTCCCAGCACGAAGCAGCATGGAGACTTTGAACTTCTGCCTTGGGGGAGAAAACTGGGTCTTCTGAGCCAAACTTTCCATCCTGGAGGAACAACTACTCCATCAGATCCCAGCATCCTTCCCCACAGGGAGGCACCTGCTATGGGATGCCTGCCACACCTGGGCACCAACTGGGACCACCCTGAGCACTGCTGGGTGAGAACCAAGCTCCCTGGACCATCCCAGGAGAGACATCAAGACCTTGCAGGACCAGGAGGTGGATGGGGCAGATGGTGAAAGGGATCGGGTAGCAGTGGTGGGGAGACAGGGATTTCTGGAAGGCACTAGTCGTGGGCATGAGAAACCCCAGTGAAAGGCAATGGTGGTGGGACACCCTGGACATGGAGCTTTTGACCATGTCCATGTTTTGTTCTGATGTTCCTTTGGTTGGCGAGTTGTGCCGTGAGAATGTGATAAACCATCCAGTGCCTCAGGCCACGCGCTTTTACCCACTTCTACCTTCACCCAGGGCTGTGGTGTGCCCTGCTGTGGGATGGTTGCTGCAGGACAGCCATGTCCATTTGCCCATAGCTAACAGGGCTTGCTGGCTCAGCCACTGTGGTGCAGCCTTGGGGAAGGTACGTGATGCCCGTAGTGCTGCCCCCCAAACTCCTGACCAAATGTCCCCAGTGCAGCAGTCTCAAGCTGGTGACTCAAGGTGTGTGCATGTGGGTCTGGCTTGTGCCATGTGGTTGAAGGGGACACACAAGTTTGGCCAAGAGGATACTTGAGTGAGGATGCTGCAGCTGGGGTGGCTTTGCAGGGAAACCATCCCCCTGCCCTCCCTTCCTCCTCCGCCACGTGCCAGCCCTTGGATGGAGATGCATTTGTTGGCCCCCGACTGGGTATAAGTGCAGGAGTTATAACAAGAAGTCAGGCTAAATGGCATCTTAAAGTGTCTTGGATTTTTCTCCCTGTGCTTACAGGCTGCTTTCACATCCTCTCTCCTTTTCCTGAAAACAGCCATGAAGGCTGCTTGCTCCCCTCTGCCCTCCCATGCAGAGGCAGAGGCAGCAGCACCAGTGCACGGCTCCTGAAACCTCCTAAACCAATTAAACAGGGTCAGATGGAGCTGGCACAAAACACAGCACGTGGGGGGCTCCCTGCAATGCTGCCCACAGCGAGATCTCAATCTTGCGGGTGGGGTGGCTGTGGCTCTCCAGGGTTCGTGCTGTGAGAGCAGGAATGGGCACTGTGGATCCGTTCGGGCTGGATGGGGATTTGGAGCCATTGCTGCTGGCGAGGGGCAGGGGGACACGCTGCCCTGGTGCTCCCTCACCAACACAGCTGCCTGGGGAGCCAGCATCCCACCTCCTGGCACAGGGGCTGTCGGGTGCTTTCTCTCTGCCAGGTCCCTAATGAGCCAGCCCCGGGCAGGACAGGCTCGGGAGGAAACTAATAAATAGGGAAGGAAAGCGATGGCTTTAAGGGCTGTAAATCTCCCTCTTGACCTTGCTGAAAGCACAGCGTGAGCCAAGGGCTTGCGGTGGCGGCTGCAGCCTTGGGGTCAGGGTCACCAAAACCCGGAGCTCTCCCCGAAACCAGGCTTGCTTTGGCTACCCTGGCATCAGAAAACAAATGTCTGTTGTGGTGCCTATGAGGGCTTTAACCCTGAACCTTCGTCAGTGCCGTGTTTGTCCCCAGGACTGCTCACTTATCAGCCTCCCCTTTCCCCTCCATCCCAGGTGTTATCAGTGGGACAGGCAGAGCCACCCTCCACAGGGACAGGCGGCAGTGAGGTGACCCTCAGGGAGCTCACTTTCCTTTCTGTACCCCTCTATCTCTCTGTTCACTGCACTTTCTGCACTCCTTATTATTCTTTGCTCCTTATCAGGCTATAAAACCTGCTCAAGGCAGGCTGGGTTCTGGGCTGTCCTGGTCTTGCACAAGAGGGGTGGAGCTGCTAGAGAAACCAGCCTGGGTTGGGTTTTTTCCCTACTCTGAATGATGCTGGATGGGGGACATCACCTGCAGCTGAGCAGCACCTGCAGGATGTTCCCTAATAAAGCCTCTCCTCAGCCTTTCCCTGCTCCTGAGAAGATGCAGGAGACGAGGCTGTGGGTAATGCCAATGCCAGTTTGGGGAAGAGCTCTAAAGCAGTGAGAAGGTGCTCTCCAGGCCCTGCCGGCTCCTTCTGAGGGTCCTTCATCCAAGCTTTGCTGGCAGCCTGTGCTGTGGCTGGTGTGTTGCTATCTCTGGGGCAATGATTCAGCTCTACATCATCTTTCCACTCCCTGGAAGGTGCTGAGGGATGGATGGGGTGGGACGTGTCCCCATGTTTGCTTAGGGTCCCCATGGGACAGTGAGGGTCTGGCAGCGATGTGGGAGTTCCTCTTCACCCACTCCTCAGGCACAGCCACTTCCTTCCAGCCACAGCCCCAGCTACCTCGGGGGGCACCCGCAGCTTTGTTTTTGCTGGCAGAGATGGACCAAGAGGATCTCTGATGTTTCCTGTGCCTCTCTGGAGGGCTGCAGGGAGAGACCGCAGGCGAGCCCACATCCCCTTCTGCAGAGGAAGCCTATTCTGGGCTCAAAGAGTGGCGTGACCCATGGGGTGCCCCAAGGGGGAAGGGAACCACCCATCGGGCATGGGGTCGCTCTGGGGCTTTGCTTAGCTCCTGAACATGATGCTGAAGCTTTATTTCTCCTCCTGTGGGCAAAACATGGTGGCTGTGTGCTGCTCAGGACATTTAGCACTGCTGGGGACACTGGTGCTGCCATGCATGCTCGAGCCCTGGCCCATCAGGGTGTCCCTGCTGACCCCTTCACCGCCCCCAGAAGCCTGTCCCCCCCAAAGGGGAGTGGGCAGCTCTGGGGGAGCACTCTGCATGGGCAGAGGGTGGGCTTGGAGTGCCAAGGGACGATGCAGGGACTATGGCTGGTGTTCTTCAGATGCCACCACAGCTCTGTTTTCTGAACGAGGGGCCCACGCGCTCCCCTTCCCACGTGCCAGGCTTTAAGGTGTTGGGTGTTTCCTAACTTTTATCATTTCTACCCAAATTGCAGCTCTGTCAACATTTGCTGCGGTGAGGGGAGGTCGGTGGGAGAAGCAGGAACATCACCATAAACAACATCACCATAAAAGTAAGTTCCTTTGGGCAAGTGAAATGACCTTTGAGCTCTCAGTGGCCTTATCACAACCATCAGGCAGAGTATTTTATTGAAGTCTCCTGGAATTTCAAGTTAATAAGTAGCAAAGTGCCCAGGCCATTTTGTATTGCTAAAGATCCCAGCTGGGCTACAGACCAAATATGGTCATTTGGAAAGTGGCTTCAGTGGCAATGGAACAGTGATAAGTGTCCTGGCGTGACCCTTTTGAAATTCAGTGCAATTGAGGGTATAAATACATGGTGTGCAAGACACAAGGTATGTTTTGAATCAATAGGGTCTTCTTTGATACTTAATCTTTATTTATAATTCTGGAAGGTACACGTTCTACTTAAGAAATTACTGTCAGGGTATGATTCCTTTGCTGGTACAGGACTCTGAGAGGGTTTTCTTTTACAACTGAATACGTCAGAGTTGTTCAAGTAGTGGTTTAAAGCGCGGAAGCCTGCCTGCTACAGTCCTTCAGGGAAAAATGCCTCATCATGTTTTCAGTTTCTTGAACGAGGCCACTCAGCTGAGAGGTCGGAGAGCACGCAGCAATCTGAAATAAAGCCTTTGACGTATGACAATTAGACAAGGCTTTGAAGTTACCTCCATAAAGATATTGCAGCCACCAAACAAGGAGGTTTTCCTGACAATGAGAACACCCTTATTGTTAGCCGTTAAAGATGTAATTAAAATGTGTGTAATATATGCATTAGCTTTCAGTAGCGTTAAGAAAGTATTATTTAAAGCTGTTAACAGGCAAGTAGGTCTTGCTTTGTAACGTTTTAAGAGCCAGGAGCGTTTGTTCCTGTGTTTGTCCCAGGTTGTGCAATGGAGCTGCGGAAGAGTGATGGGGTGGCTGCCCGGAGCGGGGGCGTTATTTACCCCTGTGCTCACTGGGAGCTGCAGTTTGCAAACGGGGTGAGCTGAGACCTTATCCCTCCCCCGTGGGGTGAATTTTGGCAGCTGTACGTCACTGAATTTGCCCTCTGCTCAGGGCATGGCAAGGTGTTCCCCAACAGTAGGTCCCATGGGTGCTGTGGGGTACCCACCTGCCCCCCTGCTCTCCTGTGCCCACAGGCCCCTGGGGATTGCTGTGGGGCCAACACTGCGTGAGTGGAAATACGTGGGGACGAGTCACCCTGGGAAGATGATTCACTTTGCCAAAGTGCCTTGCCTTCACTTGTTATGGTTGCAAACAGTCCTGCCGTGCTCCCTGGGGTTTCATCATCCAGCAGTGGAAAATAACATGGAAGCCTTTCATCTGGTGGATCGGTGCTGCTCCTCAGCCTGGTGAGGTAGGAGCTTCAGTTCTCCACAGCTACCCTGGCCTGACTCCAACCATAGCTTCCACCTTCCTATGGAAAACAAGACAGTTTATGTGAAAGTCTTGCTGCCTTGTTTCTGGGAACATAGGATAGCCAATCCTGATTTTTTTTATTTATTTTTTTTTCCCCTGTGGCTACTCTGATTCAGAAAGACATTTTGTTTCTAACAGGGTCATAAGTCATCTTTTGTCCCACTCACAGCATCAAAGCTGTGCTCCTGTGCTGGTGGGAAGCCTGGCTCCTGATGTGGGCATTAGGAATGAGGAATATTCAGCTGAGGGCCAGGGTAGCTGGCATTGGGCTCCAAACCACTGGCCAGTCTTGGGGGGTGACGTGGGGCTGACTTGGCCCTCACCAGCTGCCGCAGCTGTGTGATGAGTTGTGTACGTGGGCTGAGAGGAGAAACAGAACCCACAGGGCAGGTCAGTGCAGGCACTGGCC